GTGGGACTAGAACTCCTAGTCTCCCGGTGATTGGCCCAAAGTCACCTAGCCAGCTTTCACACCTAAGGTGAGACTAGAACTCCCAGTCTCCTCGTGTTTGATCCTATATTACCCAGCTGGCTTTCATGCCTAAGGTGGGACTAGAACTCCCAGTCTCCTGGTGATTGGCCCAAAGTCACCTAGCCAGCTTTCACACCTAAGGTGAGATTAGAACTCCCAGTCTCCTCGTGTTGGATCCTGTATTACCCAGCTGGCTTTCATGCCTAAGGCGGAACGAGAGCTCACCATCTTCCAGTTTCTAGCTTGGTGCCTTCAGCACAAGACTAAACTGGCTTTCCTGGTTTTTCCTCCTAGTTTTAGAATTATTTTGAAGGGACAACAATTGTTTGAAGACAGGGCGTCAGGTTGCCCCCTCTCCTCTGATAAAACGTCTGATGATTTTGAAAAGGCTCCTCGTCAGAACGATATCCGTGTAAATCATTTAAAAATCTTGTTCCCTCCGGTGTCCTCTGTTTTCATGGAGAAGTTTGTCATCAGCTTTTGCTGGCTGAAATGGTGCAGCTCACTTGTTCTAGTGGAAGCATGACTTAGGTTGATCTTCTCCTGATCGTTCGCTCTAAATTCTTGACTTTCTCTGGGTTTGCTTCCATCGTGTCCCTTGTAGGATCTTCACCAAGGTGGTTCTTGAAGCCCCCCTGATCACGGAGAGCGCCCTGGAAGTCATACGCAAGTATTGTGAAGATGAGGTGCGTCTCCCAAGACCATAACCCAACTATGTTCCTTCAAAGAGGGGACTGGCAATTCCAGCATCCCCAGCCAGGGTGACAAGCAGAAGTCTTTTCACTACCTCAAGGGTGGGTCACTATGGCCCCTTTACGACCTGTGGACTTAAACTCCCAGAATTCCTGAGCCAGCCATTCTAAGAGTTGAAGTCCACAGGTTGGACTTCAGTTGTGATGACCCAAAGGGGCGTGGCACAAAGGCAACCCAGTCAGATAATCAGCAGGAGTCCCTTTATTAGCTCCAACTTTGCCCCCAACGTCCTGGTTACCTTCTGGCTGGAGAAAAACTCTCCCAGGAACAGCCTTTGGCTGCAGGGAATCCAGTCCAAAACGTGGGCAACAAAAACTGTAACTATAAGTCCAAACAAGCCAAACTGAAGTAATTAGTTTGGCAAGGCAGGAGCAAGAATTCTAGACTTGAAGGTACAGCAAAAGTCACACGGTTGGGAAGAAGCCAGGAACACAGATAAGCCACGACAACACAGGATAAAGTCATGTTTACTCCCAGCAGCCTGCCGCACTCAGCTTGCATCTCTTTTAAACTCTCATTCCCAGCTGTGGATAATGAAGGGAATCAGGGCCCTGTCCTCCCTGATAAGCCATGCAACCCACCTTGCTCCCTTCTCCATTCCTCCCTGCGTGCCCTAGGATGAGGAGGGGGTGGGCCTGGGCCTTCCTCTGAATGCCCAGCTGTACTGTGCCCTTCCACAGTTTCCTCCACAGCCACCGGACCCCCACTCCCACTCCCTGTCAGCTGTTCATCTTCCTCCTCGGATTCAGACTCCGATGGGGACATGACATCAGTTGTCTGGAATGAGACACCTAAATATTTATCACCCTACGAAAAGCATAAGTTGGGGAAAATTAATATTTTTAAACTTGTTAACAATATTCATGGGATTTTTTTTCCCCTTCCATCTTTGGACCGGAACGCATCCTGGTGGTTTCTTCTGGGCTGCTTTGCAGAGCCGGACATATTTGGGCATGTCGACCCTCCGCGATCTGATTTTTAAGCGCCCATCCAGGCAGTTTGAATACCTGCATGTCCTGCTGGACCTCAGCTCCCACGAGAAGGACAAGGTGAGTCTCCTGCCCTGGGACAGTCAACCTTCGGGCCCAAATGTCTCAGGTACAGCTCTTTTAATGATTTTAATCCTAAATTTTCCGATACAAGGCAGTGTTTGACTTACAACAGTTCATTTAGTGACCGTTCAAAGTTGCAGCGGCCGTGAAAAAAAGTGATTTTTGACTGGTTTTCCACACTTGGTGACTATTGCCATGGTCACGTGATCAAAGTGGCTTGGCAACCGACTCCCATTTTGGAAGGTTGCAATGTCCCAGGGTAACATGATCCCCTTTTGGGACCTCCCGACAAGCAGAATCACTGGGGAAGCCAGACTTCACTTAACCGTGTTACTAATTTAACAACTGCAGGGATTCACTGAACAACTGACAAAGGTCGTAAAACGGGGGCAAAACTCACTTAACCTCACAGGATGGTTGTTGTGGAAAAAATACACGTTTTCACATTGGATATGTTCACTGCCTTGAGTTATTTGTAAAAATAAAATAAAATAAAAGCAAGATGTAAATAAGACAAGTAGAAGAAATCAAACCATCTCGATGCTTCTTGCTGGATTTGAAACTGACCCTTTCAGGGCTGGTTGTGCTTCCATCTCAGGTTCGTCAGCAGGCCCTCCTCTTCATTAAGCGGATGTACGAGAAGGACCACCTGCGGGAATATGTGGAGAAATTTGCCCTGAATTACCTGCAGCTGCTGGTCCACCCCAACCCTCCTTCCGTTCTCTTTGGCGCCGATAAAGATACAGGTAATTAGTCCCGACAAGGAGATCTTCCCACAGGCCTTGGTTGCCTTCAGGCACAAGTAACCAGATCTACCCATGGAAAGTTCAAGCTCACTACTTGATTACGTTCTGCCCACTCTACAGGAATCTCCCCATACTGTCAAGCCTTTGCACAGATAGATAAAGTTGTATGGAATGTAAGGAGGTGGTCAGTTCTGGACTCCTTGCAGCTGCGCAAGGACTCAGGACTAATTCCACACTTCCCCTCTGCTTGGCTGGGTTTTTAGGAGAAAATCAGGCAGAATTGGGGGCAGGGTTAAGTGTGCCATGAGCCTAGAATCCTTACATTCTCACAGTTTTAAGTTCCACCCCTCTTCAATTCCATAAACCCTAAATTGGGGCCTGGTACAGGTCAACGGAATTCAAGAAGGGTTGGATTTAGATCAGAGGTTTCCAACCTTGGCAACTTTAAGACTTGTGGACTTCAACTCCCAGAATTCCTCAGCCAGACTTCTGATTTAGACCATTTGTGGGAACGTAACGATTCTAGGCCAGTGATGCATTTAACACCGCCTCCCCAGCTCTGCCTGCTTTTCTCTTGCACGTGTTTCCCAACCAACCTCCCTCCCTTTGTCTTCCCAGTCATGGCTACCTAGCCTTTTCCTTTTCAAACTTCCTTCCCCTCGCAGAGGTGGCCGCCCCCTGGACCGAGGAGACCATCAAGCACTGCCTCTACCTCTACTTGGCCCTCCTTCCCCAGAACCACAAGCTGATCCACGAACTGGCGTCTGTCTACACGGAGGCCATTGCGGACATCAAGCGCACCATCCTCCGGGTGATCGAGCAGCCGGTGAGTCAGCGGAGATCCCTCCTCCTGGGCAGAACGGCTCCCCTTCCCTTCGCCTCCCTCGTTGCTTATGCTTCCCGATTTCCAGATCCGTGGGATGGGCATGAATTCCCAGGAGCTGCTGAAGCTGGTGAAGAACTGCCCCAAAGGGGCCGAGACTCTGGTGACCCGTTGCCTCCACAGCCTGACCGATAAAGGTACGTCATCTTTAGGAGGGGGGGAGGAACTCCTGATCACTTGACCCGGGCCACTCGGGCTCTCCGGCCACTCAAGGCCACCATGGTTTTTCCCCTCTGCAGTTCCTCCATCTCCAGAGCTGGTGAAACGAGTCCGAGATCTCTACAACAAAAGGCTCCCGGATGTCCGATTCCTCATCCCGGTTCTCAACGGCTTGGAAAAGGTACCCTTTGCGTTCTCCCCCGTTTCACATTTTTATGGAGTTGTAAGATAAATAAGATACAAGATGCAAAAGTAAATAGGACGGTGGGGAGGAAGAGGGGGAAGAGAAGCAAGGAAGGATAAGAAAAATAAAGAAAAATAAACATCTGATGCTCTCAGTAAAATAAGTTGCAGTAAAATAAGGCATGTGTCAACTCATAAAATATTTCTATGGTCTTTTTAGAGTTGCCAGCAGAAAGGGAGGGGGGGGAAGAGGGGTTTGAAAGAGCAGTGCAGCAGCTTGGCAAGCGAAACTGCGTTCCATAAATGTTTTCAAAGATAGTAACTAGGTGACTGAAGTTTCTGCGGAGCAAAATTCTAACTGGAGAGCCTGATTGATGACTCTGGGCTATGGATGTGTCCCATTGGAGGATATGAATTACAATACACCCAGAGGGGTAGGGGGAAAAACCAGGGTCAAAGGTGACAAGGAATGATGTGTCTCAGAGTCGGCTACACCCAGGCAGCGCTGGCATGTTAACTCCCAATAAATCCTTTGGAAGTTTTAGAAATTTGACTCAAGACTCAGGATTTAAATGGGGTTAAGAATCCTGACAGCACGAACGTCAAATCACAACTTTTTGTCCTTTGTTGTACCCTTTGCATTCTTCCGTGAGGCCACTCGAAGGTGCATTACAGGGAGTCCTCCGCTTATGGCCACCATGAGCCCCCAAGTTTTTGCGGCCAAGTGAAACATTTGCTCAATACATTTTTCCTCGTTGTAAAAGTTAGGGAGGGCTAATAGCGGCCCATTTGTGCTCTCTCTCTCTCTCTCTCTCTCTCCCCCCCCTCCCTTTGTAGAAAGAGGTGATCCAGGCGTTGCCCAAACTCATCAAGCTGAATCCCATCGTGGTGAAGGAAGTGTTTAACCGGCTCCTGGGAACCCAACATGGTAAGAGCCCATCCTGACTGCAAACTCCTTGGGTTTGGGTTCCCCTTGCAACGGGGAACGAATGCCAAGACCAGGAAAGGAAGCGACGGAGAAGGACTTAGGTCGCCAAACCGAAGAAATGGACCCAGCTGCTTCGTCTTCCGGCAGATCATGGGCCGGGCTCCCTGGGCTTCTGGAGATCCTGCGTGGGCTAATTCCTCTCGCTGTCCTTTCAACAGGTGAAGGAAATTCGACGGTTTCCCCCCTCAACCCCGGGGAGCTGTTGATCGCCCTGCACAACATTGATTCCACCAAGTGTGACATGAAGTCCATCATCAAAGGTTGGCTGCCTCTGGGCTTCTGCTTGCCTTCCGCTAGATCAGTTGGGGTACATGGTTCCCTTAAAAGGGGCACCTGGGTGTCAGGATTCCGGCAGTTTCCCCAATTAAATCATGAGTCTCGAGCCAAACTTCCAAAACTTCAAAAAAAAAAAAGGATTTATTGGGAGTTAAACATGTCCGGCACTGCCTGGGTGCAGCTGACTCTGAGACACATCATTCATTGTCACCCTTGACCCTGGTTTTCCCTCCATCCCCTGAGTGTATCATAATTCATATTCTCCAATGGGACACCTCCATAGCCCAGAGTCATTAATCAGGCTCTCCAGTTGCGGCAGAAACTTCGGTCACCTAGTTACTATCTTTGAAAACATTTGTGGAATGCGATTTTGGTTCCCAAGCTGCTGCACAGCTCCCCCTCCCTTTCTGTTGGCAACTCTAAAAAGACCAGAGAAATATGTTATGAGTTGGCATTGGGTGGGTACTACAACTCCCAGAACTCTAAAGGCCGTATTGACTGAAGTGTCCCAATTTACTCAGCGCTGGATTGGCCACCCATTATATCCGGTAGGGTACATAGTTGGGCGAGCCTTGGAATTCTCACATTATTGTGGCTCTGTGTTTTTGGTTGCTGCCCTCTCAAGGAAACACACAAACGTGTGTAGCCTCTCGTCTGGAAGGGACTTTGGAGGTCTTCTAGTCCAACCCCCTGCTCAGACAGGAAACCCTACATCAGTTCAGACAAACCCCAGAGAAAGCTATCACAATTGAAGAGGCTAGATTTATTATCACAAGGCTGGAAGTTACCACAGTTGAAGATTTTGGGGATTGTACGGTAGATGAGCAGGCTGAGCCCAGGGAGGGAAGAGTCAAACATGTCATCAGCCTCGAATCTTGTTAATCAGCCCTCCTTGAATTCCTTGGGCTCTTCTATCTACACCGAATTGCTTGGGCCATTCAGATTCTTGTCCCGAGCTTAAGCTTGCAATAAACCGTTATCATTTATTTGTCTGGGTTTCTGATTTCCTTTGACAGGAACCAGAACAATCTAAGGATTCCTTAACATCCCAGCTGAGGCTCTTGTTTCTTGGAGGCACCTCAAACTGATATGTTTGTGACCCGTGTGGTGGCCCCCCTTTTGCATTCTCCCGTTTTTTCCAGAGCGGGCTTTTCTCACCTTCCTCCATTTTCCTGCCTGCAGCGACCAACCTGTGTTTTGCTGAGCACAACGTCTACACCTCGGAGGTGCTGGCCGTGGTGATGCAGCAGCTGATGGAGCAGAACCCGCTGCCCATGCTCCTCATGCGGACGGTCATCCAGTCCCTGACCATGTACCCCCGCCTGGGCGGCTTTGTCATGAATATCCTCACGCGCCTCATTTTGAAGCAGGTGAGTTGGCGGGGCGGGGCAGGGAAAAGAGTCTGGGGTCTTTTAAGAAGCTGGGTTTCAACCATACAGGTGAGTCCTTGACTTACGACCACCAACGAGCCCCAAACCTCTCTGTCACAAAGCAAGGCAGCCCTGGTCCCATTTGGCAAACTTTTTAGGGGTGGGGGTGGTCATGGTTAAGCAAATTGCCACCCTTCAATGACTCAATTTGGTTTGTCTGGAGCTCCCTTGGCATGTTGCAGTCCCAGGATAGCGCAACCCTTGTGAGTGGGGGTTGCCAAGCCCCCAGAGTTCGCTCCCGTGAGCGTGGGGATGCTGCGACCTTCCTAAGTGTGAGAACTGGACATAAGTCACCTTTCCCCCCCCAGTGCTGTTGCAACTTTGAATGGCCGGGTAAGGAGTGAGTGGGCGGGGAGCGTTCCTGCGGGGGCCAGGTGGGCGGTGCAGCCCTGTGTTTTGGCGCAGCCTGGATTAATTGCTTTGTGTGTGGGGGGGGGTGCTCTGGGGGTGAGATTTCTCTCTGGCCCATCAAAATTTTCTTGTGGCCCACCAGTGGTTGGCGACACCGCTGTTTTAGCTTATCATATTTTGCCTTTTTATAATGTTGTACTATTTATATAGGTGTTTTTTTTTATATTGTAAGCTGTCCAGAGTAACCTTGTGATAAGATGAACTGGGTGGATGGATGGATGGATGGATGGATGGATGGATGGATGACTCAAGTTGCTCAGCCACATTTTTGAACTCTGCTTCTTCCCAGGTGTGGAAGTACCCCAAAGTCTGGGAGGGCTTCATCAAATGCTGCCAGCGCACGAAGCCCCAGTCCTTCCAGGTCATCCTCCAGTTACCCCCACAGCAGCTCAGTGCCGTCTTTGAAAAATGCCCAGAGCTGAGAGAGCCTCTGCTGGCTCATGTCCGCTCCTTCACCCCCCATCAGGTAGGCACATCGTGTGTATGAGGAGTGAAAACGCAGAATATATATCCCTGTGCACCATTTGCCCTTTTAGCTTCAAAATATACCCTCAAATGAAGTTGCTGGGACAGAACTGGATCAGAGTTAGAGTTAGAATTGTTCTTTATTGGCCAAGTGTGATTGGACACACAAGGGATTCGTTTCCAGTGCAGAAGCTCTCGATGTACATGCGAAACAACAAAGTGGTCACAATAGATATTGATTGGAAAAGGTAATAGGAAAGATGACTAGGATGGTAGTAATAATACACCCCCTACTCCATGGGTAAATATCTTTAGGCATGAGACAGTGCTGTGAGAATTAGGTGTTAAGTAGAAGTGGATCTAGGCCGTTAGTTTAAAAGCTGAACCCAGAATTCTCTTGCATTTGTGTTTGATAAGTAACTAACCTTCATTTGGCTGCCTGAAGTCCTGCCAGTTGACACCGTGTCCTCCTTGCCTCCCCCCCCTCCCCAGCAAGCCCACATCCCCAATTCCACCATGGCCATCCTGGAAGCCACCATCAAACAGGAAACGGAAGGCAAAGAGCTTCAGCCCCCGGAGGAAGGGAGGGGCGGCCCGGCTCCCTCCAGGACGAAGACCCTGAGAAGAGAGAGGGAGGTCAGTGCTGTGAGGATGGAGGGGGGCGGGGGGGTTGAATTATTGCACTGGACGCTCGTAGGATTGTCCTGAATGGCAACGGCAGAGGGCAAGAGTTTGGCATCAGGTGGGCCCAAAGGGAAGCGGGAGTTGTGGGAAAGCTGCCACAGGGAAAGAAAAATCTGGGTTTTGCTTTCCATTTTTTGGTTTGGGTTTGGCAAAGGACTGAAGCAAAACCTTTTAAAAATTGGGATTTCGTTTTCTGGATGTTAAAGGACTCCGTCCATGAGCTATAAAACAAGGGTCTTCCAACTTGGCAGGTTTAAGATTTTGTGGACTTCAACTCCCAGAATTCCTCTGCAAACATGACTGGAGGAGGAATGCTGGGAATTGAAGTCTTTTTTTAAAGTGGCCAAGGTTGGAGACCCCTGGCTTGAACAACCCAGATCGCTGAAGGCGCCGAGAGCATCTTCAGAGGATCCTAAAACCAAATCTGCTGGGTCCCCCCCAGGAGGACACGGAGCCCCAGCCCCTGCTGCCTCGGGTGTCCCAGGACATGATCGCCCTGCGCCTGGCCCAGGAGAAGGCCCTGAAGCGCCAGCTGGAGGAGGAGCAGAAGCTCAAGCAGCAGCAGCAGCAGCAACCGCCTCGCCCTGCCGCCTCGCCCACCCCTCCCCCCGCCGAGGAATTGGTGGACCTCCCGGAAGATGTGCCCGAAGCCGAGACCCCCACCATCTTCATCAGCATGCAGGAGGAGGAAGAGAGCTTTGGCGGGGAGAACTCCCTGCTGGATTTCAGCTTGGAAGGGCCCTGGCCCAACAAGGTACCCCCCTCTCTTCTCCGTTTTTCTATTGATCTTTTTAGCTTAGCTCGCGTCCCACCACCTTGGCGGTGTTTTGATGAATAAATCAAGCCGAGGTAACGCATCTTCCAACCTCCTCTTCTGCCCACAACCACCACCCTGTGAGGTGGGTTGGGCTGGGAGTGATTGGCCCCCCAAATCAGCCAGCTGGATTTCCTGCCTAAGATGGGGACTAGAACTCACCGTCTCCTGGTGGTTTGCCCAGTCACCCAGCCGGCTTTCATGCTTAAGGGCTGGAACTGGAATTCACCGTTTCTTGGTGACGGGCCCAAAGCCAGC